CAATGGTTCCATGGTACTTTGCTCTGCAAGGCCAGCAAAGCTTGCCTTTGAAAGGATTTTGTGCTTGATGAGTACTGTTGAAACTCTAGTGTTAATTATTTTTGTGAAAATCTTCCTGACTGACTCAATAAGTGAGATTGGTAGGGTATCTGAAATTCTGCGAGACCAAACTAGTTTCTTTGGTAGCAGGACTATTGAAGACTTTTTCCAGTATATGGGAATTTGTTCGCTTATTAGGACATTATTGTACAAGTTTAGGAGTGTTTTCTTTGAACCTTCACTTAGGGAGTTAATTATTTCATATATGATGTCTGATTCTCTTGGAGTTTTGTTTAGAGGTAGTTTGTGAGTAATGCTAGTTAGTTCTTCCAAGTCAAGTTGGCTTAGAGTTAGATTATATATTTTTTCTGATATGCTCTCCAGTGGTAAGTACTTGTTGGCCTATTCTGAGTTTGTTAGGTCGAAGTCGCTGTTTTGATTTCTTCTGGGTCATCTGTAAGATTGCTCTCGCTGTCTTGTACAATGTTTAAGTTTAAGAAGAGTTTCAAGTCCCCCAATGCTTTCTTGATAAAACTCTTTGGTCTTTTCTAGAATTTGAGATAATTGTCTAGAATAGTTTTATGGATTTGATCTGCTCACTGTTCTTTTATTTGGTGCAATCTCTCTTTGATTAAGGTGCTTCTTAGGCAATTAAGTATTTTGATTGATACTGGTATGCTGTTAAACATTTTTTGGTGCAGTGTGTTGATGTTTTTTGGAATTTTACTTCCTGCACCTTGTGCTTTTGTGTTTTTCCCCTTCTTAATACTTGAAATTAGTCTTTTGATTTGTTTTAGCAGACGGAAATGCTGGCCAGTTCTTTGCTGATTAGCTCTATGCAGTGAAGGTTTGACTAATGGCAGATTGTTTCTTGCTGCCTGTCAGATTTTGCTTTATAATATAGTAGAATGTTGGTTTATATTGTTGGTGTGAAAATCCAGCGAGTCGGTTGCTTGAGCTTGCCTCACGCCGTGTAACAATAGGGCGGGTCTTTTTCTCAAAAGAGGCATGTGAATTTGGTCTGAGCTGTCAGATAATGATACAGATCTACCAATTGTCACAAGGGGTTGTAACAGGTGTAGCAATCCCACGAATATAGTGTGTTGGGATTGTGTAATGGGGCAAATGTCCAACAACAGAATAGAACGGATAAGGAGAAAGTTGCACAGTACCTATATTGATTGTTCCTTCTTTTTGCTCATATCCTTATTACTTATATACTTATTTGCAATATACACTTTATACCTGATATATATTTTATACCTGATATATATTTTATACCTGATATATATTTTATACTTTCTATATATTTTCTCTATATTTTCTTTACTATCTTTTTCACACTAACAATATGGTTAAATCTTCAAATAATAGATAAGTTCTTTCACATCATATCTTAGGGGTGAAAAATGCAACCTAAATTTTTTGTTTTTTCAAATAGATTCTTTCTTTGATAAAGACTCAGAAATAAACTCTTGGATAGATAGGTTTTTATTGTTATCGTGCCTGGGATGCAAAATAAAAAAAAAATAGCTTTTCTTTTCTTTATATAGGCAGTCTTTTCTTGATGGCCCACTATCAGAGACTCGGAATAATAGGCAGTTTTTTTTATTTTGGAGGTACAATATATTTCATTAGAAAAGGAATATGGAATACCATTTGATAGACAAAAAAATATGAACGTACAGGACAACAGGTGTTCGAGGTGAGTGTTTATATAAGGAGTGTATAGTATGAAATTTGTTTATTCGATTGGTTCTTTAGTTTTCTTTTCTTTATCACCTTTCTTTAGACAAATCTATCTAAAAAAGATTGGAAGATAAATAAACTTGTAATGGGTAGTGAGACATCAGTCATTATCACTTATAAGATACAAACACTTTTTTGATTGGGCTAATCAGCAAGTCCTCAATGCTATTTGTTAACAATAAGGTGAGTTTCGTCTTTAACTCTTAAGGCATGTCTTCGATTAGACCAGTTTTACTTTAACCTCTCTATCGACTAATGGGAACTCCTCTTATGCCAATTTCCTTAAACAAACTCAGTTCTCTCACTTAGTCACATAGCACGAGTTACAAGTATGTCAGGTGCACTTGAAAACAAGATAAGAGTTTATTTACAACGTTACTTTATTGTAAATGCTAGTGGTCTAAACTTAACTTAAAACTAACTACATGCTATCGGATTGCACATGTATTTATACATGCACCTGTTATTTACATTAAATTACTATTCTATACTACTCTAAAAACTTCCCATCTCTTAAAATTCCACACCTTAATTTCCCATCATTCCTCACAACACTAATTATATAACATGACAGGTGTCACGTTACTGCGTCCTCCATTTTATCCACGACAGCGAGATATGTAAATTATTCTATTAATGATTTAGTAATTCATAGTTTATTGTTATTTCTTACAGACATTTCTTATACACTTTATACAGTATACATAATTGTATAAAAACAAAATGAGAAAAAGATAGAAAGTAATAGAAACCATTAGAAAGAAATGAAGGGAATTAAAATGAAACAGAAAGAAATATAAAAATAATAAAGATAGATTGGGATATAAGGGAGATTTAAGCATTTTCCATAGTACATGTTTATTTTTAGCTATCTGTTGACACTTACATAATTTCTTTTAATCTCGCAGAACTAATTATTATTTGAAAATCCTTGTCCAATCGATTTAATTAAATATTAAGTATGGTTATTTGTGAACATAACAATAAACAGGATGTAAATAATTACATTTGTTTATAATTATCCTATTGCTCTTATATTTATCTCTTATTTAGTTCTTATTTTGCTTTTATTAATATCAAAATTGTTCTGTTTAAAATTTTTTTATTATACATACAGTATATTTTAGTTATCTCTCTATTATATTAAAATATACATAATAATCTAACACATTCTATTTAAGCAACCAGATTAAATTTTTAGAAATACAAAAACCTTTATACTAATTTCCTCTTCTCTTTTTCTTTTGACAAGTCTAAATTAAAATAATTATCTAAATTCTTTTGTATAAGTAAATTCTTCTTTAATCTTCTTAATGTTCGGCTGGCTTTTACTATACTATCAATTTCCTTTGAATAATTACCCTCTTGTCCTAAAAATAATCACATTATCTCATCAAGTGACTTCATTGCCTCTCAAATCGATATCATTGGAAGCTCTGAGCTATCATCTTCATTTTTTATGATATCTGTTTCTGTTTCCAAACTACAAACAATCTCTAGAATTTCCTTATTTGTTAGCTCATCTTTTTTGATTATATTTTCATCCTCTGGATTCAAAAAATCATTGATTGCTATAGAATAATGATAGCACAATAATTGAACATTTTAATTTATTGTTTTTTTTTTTTTCCCTCAATCAGGTTGGTGTCATTTATTTATTAAATCAAAATGAACCATTACAAATATAAATTGT